TCCTCCCAGCCATAATCATCTTATTTTCTTTATTCTCTTGGTGAATGACACTAGAGAGGAGCTCAGTAGGATACTGGTTTGCCCATGGGCATAATACTTTTCTAGTACTGAATAGTAAAACTAAAGCTTACTCACTGAGATGTTTCATTCAAACCCAGGAAGCCACACATGGCCACACATGGCCACACGGCCCAAGTTGGCTCTTGGGGGTGTGTTCCACCAGAAGGTGCTATAAACAGATTTGGACCCAGAGAATGTAAAACTACAAGACAGAATGAAGTTTACAACAGCAGCTGCTACATTTTAAAATGTTAGAGCTATTTTAAAATTATTTCCCCTTGAATGGCTTTCTGTGCCTGTAAGTTCCTCTTCCCTATGCCAACACTCATCTTATTTAAAAAGTTTTCAATGAGTCTGTGAAATCAAAGGGTCAGGGTGCTTGAGTCTGACACAAATCATCCCTAACTAAAGTGATTCTAACATCTGCTTTCTTTTCACTGAAACTGTTCTGTACAGATGCAGATACCTCAAGGATGTATTATTCCAGAAAAATGTAAAGCATCATGTATATACTATTATTTTTTAGAGCTCTATTTTTAGGAACTGCAGAAATTTATTGTATATATCTCTAAAGAACCTCGATGATAGAAATTGCTGCCTTCTGAGAGTGGACCTGAGATTTGGAAATAGTTAAATCTTTTGTCTAGCAAATAAAGGTGACTGATCCAGCCAGGTAATTCTGCTTGAGGTTAAAATAATAAATATGGCTATAAAATACTGACTTCTTAGATAGTATGTGCAAACTAGCTCCTCATACATTTCTGGACCTTTGAATTTACTGCCACCACTTCCTGTAATCCATTTATAAATGCTCCTGTTCATCCATAAACGGGTTAAGGGTCACTAAAATGAGGCCTCCCCTGAACACCCTAATGTGAACAGTCCAACTCAGCATTCACATTTGTCTAGATCAGAGTCATGTTTGCTTTTTTAATAACAGTTATCACTATTTATTAATTTCTTAAAATTGTTTTTGTCTCTTCCTCTCAGCCTAGGTGTGCTTCCTAAGGGTAACCACATGTGGTTCTTTAAATTCCAATTGATTATAATTAAGCAGAATTAATGAAAAAAACAATTTCCCCAAAATAAAGAACTTCTATTTTTTTTTTTTTGAATGACATGAGTAAAAAGATAAGCTGCAGAGTAGGAGCAAACACCTGCAAATCATTTATCTGATAAAAGACTTGAATCCAGAATAACTCTCAAAACTCAGTAATAAGAGAGCCAACAACCCAATTACAACTAGGCAAAATATCTGAATATGTGCTTCACCAAAGATAACGTACACATGACAAGCAAAAGTAAAGATGCTCAATGTCATTAGTTACTAAGGGAGACGCAAATCCAAACTACATACACCAGGATGACTATAACGAGTGTTGCTGAGAACGTGGAGGAACTGGACTGCTGGAGGGAATGTAAAACTCACTTCAGAAAAGACCAATTTGACTTTCTTCATTCAAATATACACCTAAAATATGACCAGCACTTAAACACCTACTATTTACTCAAAAGATGTGAAAGAATAACTCTATACAAAGCCTTGTATATAAATATTCATAGCAGCTTTATTTATAACTGCCAAAAGCTGCAAATAATCCAAATACCCATTAACAGGTGAATGGATAAACAAATGGTGGTCTATCCATTCAATGGCACTACTCAGTAATGCAATAAACCACTGATAAACACAAAAATATGGATGAATCTCAACATATTTTTACCAAATGAAAGAAGGCAGACAAAAAATTATATGAAATCCAATTCCACTTATATAAAATTCTTAAAAATGTGAATTAATCTATAGTGACAGAAAGCACACCAGTGGCTGTGGGAAGGGAGAAGGACTGAAAGGATTAGGTAAGGAACATGAGGCAACTTTGGCAGATGGGGAGTATGCTTCTTACTTTGATTGTAGAGATGGTTTCATAGGTGTTCACAAAGGTGAAAACATAGATTCGTATACTTCAAATATGTGCAGTTTATCATATGTCAACTCTGCTTCATTGACGCTATTAAACTGCTTTTAGCTGTCAAATTATAGCCACATTTCAAGAGCTCAATAGCCACATGTAGTTAGTGGCTACTGAACTGGACATTGCAGAGAAAGCACATCTCTGTCACTGCACAAGTTCCACCTAACAGTGCTGCTTCAGGACCAGGGGTCAGGAAACCACAGGGGAGATCCACTGCCTGTCTTTTAAATAAGGTTTGACTAGAACATAGCTATGCCCATTCACTGGCCTGCTGTTTACAGCTGCTTTACTGTTCCAATGGCAGGTCTGAGGCGCTGCAATAGAGACCACATGGCCTACAAATTAACTATTGACTATCTTGTCCTTTAAGAAAAGGTTTGCTGACTCTGCTGTAAACCATACATTCTGGGGGCAAGGGCCATACCTACCCTATTTACTGCCGCACATAATCCAATTAATATTTATGTAACACCTAACATGTAGCAAGCACTCTTCTAACGGGGAGGCAGCCTTGAACAGTGCAGATAAGGTCCCTATTCTTACGGTTTTCATGATCTGATGAGGCATGTTGATAACAGATAAAAAGTGAGTAGATCAGAAAATAACACGCAATGATGAATGCTAAGATGACGAAAAAGCTGAAAGTGTACACCATGATCCAAGAGTGACTTCCACTTAGGACAAGCAGCTGGGAGGACTAACATCTGAGCAATATGGAAGAGTCAACATTGTGAAGACCTGAGGCAGAAACAGAGTAACAGCAACAAGATCTCAAAATAGGAATGAATCTGATGACTTGACATAAGGGGGAAAAAAGGCCCATGTGACTGGAGAATACATAAGCAAAGAGGATAAAGGTCCAGGAGATGGGAGAAGTAGACAGAGCCTAGAAAAGGAGTCAGAATTGTACTATAAATGTGATAGGAAGCCACTACAGGATTTTAAGCAGCTGAGCAACATGATCAATTTACATTTTTGGGGGGGTGCAGGGGATTTGTCACAGGGCACATATGTTTGCTGGAGACAGGGAAAGTGAGAAGTCATTCCCTGGGGGAGTAAGGCCACTCCACAATCCCATCTCCTCCATTTTCCTCTTGGGATTTTGGGCATACACACACATGCCCACCCGTCGTGATTTTCAGACCACTGAGTCTGGGACTTGAACTGTGGTCGGCCATGTGGGAGTCTAACACCTTAACCACCACACAACCTGCTGGCCCCTCAATTTACATTTTAAAATATCATTCTGGTGTTGGTAAATGGAGACTAGGGCATGGAATGGCAAGAAAGGTGTTAGACAAAGTAAGCGATTTCTGTAAAGCTACAAGTGAGAGATAGTGATGGCTTGGCTCAGTCTACAGTGCCAGGAGTGGAGGTCAAGTAGAGAACAATTGAAGATATGTTTGATGTTACAGATTTCCTTATTAATTGGGTTGCTGAGTACAGAAATGAGTTGAAAATAAATTCTAAATGTTTGACTTGAACAATTGGGACACAAAGGTATAAATTTATAGATATGGGGAAAATCACAAACAGTAAGTGCTAACATTTATTGAGTGCCTATTATGTGTCATTATTCACTCAAATTCACATTTAATTTTGGCAACAATCTTGGAAAGGTGGGTATTGGCTTGGTAATGGGTCAACCCATTATGTATGTTTCATGATGAAGGACAACAGCTTAGGGACAGTGGTTATGCTGAGTAAAAAGAATGTGGGAAAAGGGCAAAGAAATCCTTCATTTATTGGACAAGTAATGCTTGATAAATGATGAAGCCACTCTCTATTGCTTCCTCTCTTTGCCAGCATGCTTAATTACCCTGGGTAAAAAGGAAAAAAAAAAACTGTTCAGAAAAATAAATCTTTGCCTCTCCCCTATTCCCTAAATCTATAAAAATTTTTAAAAATGCTTTAAAATTGGAGTCAATTACTGACCATTTACTTTCCCAAATGTAGTGCTAATCTGGTAAATTCACATGTTTTCTGTGGGAGGATTTGATTACACACACACATGCTCCATCTCTGCAGGGAAAAGAAGCGACAAGGACAAACCGCAGCCTCAATACATCAAAGGCGAGCAGCAGCATTACAACCCATACATCATCAAGTTCACGTACACCCCTGGATGGCTCTGCGACACGGTCAAGGTCTTTGGGGGCTCACACACACTCCCATCCTTTGGCACACTCATCTCACCTCTCTTCAGCTGACCTTGTAGCCAACCCACAATCCTGGTGGGAAGATTTATGAAAGGCAGTAAGATCCAGGCAAGCAGGGAGACTGCGTAACCCCTTAAGGCTTTAATGACATCAATTAAACACCTTAAGACATTTCTTAAGGAATGACTAGAAGAGCCCTCTAATTGCAATTTGTCTGCAGAGACGCTGTCAGGGCACCACCACGAAGAGGAACAAACATGGCCAGATAGCAGCAGACATGGCTAGAAACACCCAAATCAATCCCTAAGAGCCAAACGGCCCTGGCCAGCAGCACGGGGCCCACGTGCACTTGCTCAGGGAACCATTCCAAGGAAACCTGACCCCAATCGGAATCCTCCCTCCGCAGCCGGCCCTGTTTATCAGAACCGAACGCTACAAGTTGTCGCCCGCATCCCTTCTCCCAGCTTTGACAGGGAACACGCGCCACCCCCACGCCCAAAGCGATCCAAAGCAGATCCCTCTCCCAGCCCACCCGAGTCCCAGAGGAAGGCACAGGGATCCCGCGACCCTTCAACACAGCCCAGCGACCCCTATTCGACCCAGCTCTAGGCCGAGCCAAACCTCCACGGGTACAGTTGACCGTTAGCACCCCAAACCCGCACCTCCAACTCTGACCACCACCTGGAGACCCGGAATCGATCTTGGCCGTCGCGCCGGGTGTGTAAACACCCCATTTCCCTCTGTCCCAAAGGACCGCGGAACAGCCCCCTATCCCAAGTCAGGGGTCGAGCCCGCGGCCACCTACCTTCCTTGGCGGCTGCCGCGCCCAGGCGGACGCCACCGGCCCTGACGCCTTGGGAGCTGAGCCCGCCGCGGGGCGGTGTGCCCCCAAGCCACCTCGGCGACCCCAGGGGCTGAGCACCCTGAGAGCCGAGAAGGGTGACCTCCCAGGCCAGGCCAGCGCCTCGACTGGGCGCAGAGCTCGACTGCAGGTCCGGAGGCGGATGGAGACCGGGAGAGCCGCGAGGTCTCTCCAAGACGGATTAAGACTAGCTACGAAGAACCCGAGGGATTCAGGGGTGGCCCGGGGGGCCACAGCGCGGCCAGGCGTGAGGAGCGGGAGGGCAGGAAGGTCCAGGACGAACGTCTCAGGGCGGACGCCGCGAGCCGCGAGCTTAGGGCGTTAAATGCCCGCGGCGTCCGGCTCCCCCGCGGCGGGCG